TTGCACACACCCAGTGTAATTCCTTTCATTCTGTCCAAGCAGTTTTTTATTCTCTTTCCGTACATTCATTTTCCATTCATTCTATTAGGAGATTAATTTATCTCCTAAGTCTTTTTCACATAATGCTCCTACTTTTTTTTTTCTTGTTTTCTACTTTCTAATTATTTCTACTACATTTTCCATTCATTCTATTAGGAGATTAATTTATCTCCTAAGTCTTTTTCACATAATGCTCCTACTTTTTTTTTTCTTGTTTTCTACTTTCTAATTATTTCTACTACTTTCTGGTTTTTTTATGCCCATTTTTCTGAAGATCTATTGTGACCTACCAAAAACAATCATTGGTCTTAGACTGAAAACCTGTTATCCCCTTTATACCCTTTACTGATACCATCAGTCTTTAATCAAAAACTATCAAATTAGTCATGCTTTTTTATTCATTCCTTTTCCATGTATACATATGAATTGATTTATGCTTAAACTACATATTCGAAACACACCTTTTTGAATAATTCATACTCTTTACCATTTATTCATCTTACATTCAGGTTGCAATCTTCTACATGCCATGGTTATCCCTAGATGGGGCACATAAATCTGCCATCCAACGTGGCTTTGATTATTTGAAACTTTCACATAACACTCTTCAGTAAGACAGGAAAGGGGTAGATTAGGTTACTAGCTGTCCATGCTGCATGCAGCATTCCCTGCTAATAGTAAAGACACACAGGGCAGTTTTGGCACATATTGGCTAGCATGCTACAAGCACAATCAAACCCCAGTTTTTCCCCAAGCATTTTCACTCTGTGTAAGGTAGGATTTCTAATATAGAGGCTACCTTGCAGGCCAGTATACTATTTCCAGTATCCCACTAGCTATTGAGTACATACTGTACAAATTCTTATTAATAGTTAATTTAATACTAAATTCATTTTTACCTCATTTTGTGGTTCATGTTAATGTGGCAGAAGCATAACATCTGGCTGGGTTGGAATCTTACTTCTCAAGAAAGAAATGCATAATGCTTTGGACTTCAAAGCTTGGCTTAGAATTGAACAAATTCTGATGGAAATTTAATAAAGCCATCATGAAGGGCTTCTGGAAAATGGAGCTTTTTGCCTTTACTCATGATAAACAGAAGTAGAATTAATGCTTCTAATGTTTTTAAAAGGATTTTAAAAAATAGAGTACATTGTTTTAGACTTTCATGTTTTGATCTTGGCCTTGTTTATTGTTACCTTAAGCAGATCTTTAACACATAAGTGAAGGAAGAATTTTTGATTCCAGTGTTATACACACTGGGGCTGCAAGTAGGCATCACTGCTAGCTGGATAATCCTCCAAATTAATTTGCCATCCAAAGGAGTGCTAGAATCCTATTTCTAACTATTGTTTTATATTTTCTAGTTTGTTGAAGACTATGAACCAACCAAGGCTGATAGTTACAGAAAAAAAGTTGTTCTAGATGGCGAAGAAGTCCAAATAGATATTCTGGATACAGCAGGGCAAGAAGATTATGCAGCTATTCGAGACAACTACTTCCGTAGCGGAGAAGGTTTTCTCTTAGTTTTCTCCATAACTGAGCACGAATCCTTTACAGCCACAGCAGAATTTAGGTAAATATGATCTCTAGATGTTTTTATCAGACTTTGATTTTGAATGAATCTACAATGGGTCCAAAAGAAAGATGTCATATTTCCTCCCCGTTTTTTCCAGAACACATTAAGCTTTGAGCTTCTGTTAAACTGAACAGGAAAATACTTAACATATTCGAAGATGCAAAGGCTACTAATTAAATGTGGCTGTGGGGTTGCATTTTGGGGGAATGGCTGATAGTTTTTATTATTCAATCCTCTCTCTGTTGATATGAATGTTTGCAGTAACTAATTGTATGGAACACAAATATATAATTTTATATCAGTATATTAGCTTATGAGAGCCAGTGTGGTGTAGTTGGTTAAGATGCTGGACTGGGAGACCTGGGTTTTGTTCTTCCTTAGGCATGTACCACTCACTCTGTCAGCCCTACACTGGGAAGTCAGAAAACATCTATCTACTGATGCATAGTGGGCCAGCATGGTAGATTATGGTCAGTAATCTTGGCCTTCATCCTGCTGTGGATTGATTTGGGATAATAGTAATAATAACTACTACTGCTACCTGTATATTTGCAGGTTTTTTTTAATTGAATATACTAATATGTTGGAGTCCTTGGTGCTCTCTGAGCCAATTTTTTACCCAATTAGGTAACATCATCAGTGCAGGCAGTGTGGGTAATGGAATGTCTGCAAACAAACAACCAATCTTAGAGAGTACCAAGGACTCCACAGTTCAACTCTGAGCTACATATATTCTCTTCTAATGATAATACGGTGTTATGCTTTTCTGATGGTGAGTGTGGTACTGACTATATAAGGTGTACACTTCTTAATCTCATTTAAAGTGTATTTAAAAGACTCTTAAGTTTTTTAAATACAATAGATTGCATCAATTAGGAAGTTGCAGTAAAATATTACATTTCTGAATGTTTATCTGCTATTATTATTTTGCTTAAGTCTTTTTAAAGCATTTTTTTAAAAATGTATTTGAAATGCTCTTGTTAAATTCAGTCCAAATGGGCCTTTTGTACTTAGATGTGGAATCTTTGCAATGGTTTTGCACTTAAAAAACAAAACCTTTTTCAAATTAAATTAACAGGGAGCATTCTGTACTTTAAAAAGGCAAAAATATAGCCATCATCTTAGGTCCTGAAGGAATGCCTGCAAATTTATAAAGTTACCCAGCCCCATGGATGAAATTATGGGACAGAATTGGGCTAGTATTTTGCCTTGAGCAACTCTTTTTAAGATTCAATTACAGAAGATACATTTCCTCAAGATAACATTAACAGTGTCTTTATATAAATATTTTATTATTTAGCAAATTTATATAGCCACCCATCTCACAAAACATGACTCTGGGCAGCATACAAATACAATAACAGTTAAAAGCCATATAACAATCTTAAAACACTGAAACATGAAGAAAAATAAAAACATAAAAATACCCAAGATTGCAGGAGAATAACAATCACTTAGCATTGTACAACCACTTTGCAGGCTCCCCATGGGAGCCCAAGGCTGCTGGAGAAACCATATTTTAAGGGCTTTCTGGAAGGCTAGCAGGGATGAGGCTAACCTCACCCTGGGGGGAATGATGTTCCAGAAGGCAGGAGCCACAGCAGAAAAGGCACATTGTCTGGGTCCCACCAGATGGAATTCCTTAGTAGTTGGGACCCACATCCTACCCCTCCTGCTTGACCTGATGGGATGGGTAAATGTAATAACATAATTCCTTGGTATACTATACTGATTGTTTCTGACATGTATGCATTTTAGACTCTAACAGGAAATAATTATTGTGGCCATATCTGTTTTTCTTTTAATACGCTATACTAGGGAACAGATTCTCCGTGTAAAAGCTGAAGAAGATAAAATACCATTACTCGTGGTGGGAAACAAATCAGACTTGGAGGACCGGCGACAAGTACCTGTAGAAGCTGCTCGAAGTAAAGCAGAAGAATGGGGAGTACAGTATGTAGAGACATCAGCAAAAACAAGAGCAAATGTAGATAAGGTAAAATAACAATTTGTTTTCAGCAGTATTACATAAATAAGGTTGTCAGATCACAGTTGACAATCAATAATTCATTTTTTTAACTGTACTTGTATATAAATGCAAAGCAAGAGAATTTGGCACTTTGAGTTCTCTGCATGTTGCGGAGAATCTGAGAGTAATCATTATAATAGTTATCAAGCATTTTGGTTTAATGAAAGAACTTGAGCAAATGGTGACATAATAAACTAACTACTTTTTGGGGAATAGAAGGATTTCTTGGTTGCCAAATTTTCTCTTCAATTATTCCCCAAACTGCAAATTATATATATAGCACAGTACAGCAGAAACTGCTATAAGCTTGCTGGAATACTCTTGCAATATATTAATGAAATAATTGCCATAAAACTTACTGAAGGACAATTGGTTCCTTGCAGCTCTATAAGGAATAGATAATATTTCTAATGGTGTGTAAAAGATGCTTTTCTTCTCAGTTGTGCTAAATTACTTCTTAATGAGGACTTCTAAAGAAATAATCTGAGTTTGCTTTCATTTTAATGAGTCGCTTTTTAATGAGATGGGCAGTGACAAATGTAATTAATTAATTAATTAATTAATTTGTGCTCCTGCTCCCCATCCCATGTCTTCTCGCAAATATCTGTGGATCGATCACAGGTTTTTTTAGCTATTGCATTGCCTATTCTCCATTTAATTTGAGAATCATATAAGCATGCTTAGCTCTAAGAAGTTAGGTATGATTGAAATGTGCAAATTCAACTTGTCTTGAATAAGTCCTTGTGTTTAACATTAGCATGTGTGTGTGTAGGTTAGATTACAGTTGAATTTTTCTGAGGCTCTGTTAAAATTTTCTTTTGAATTCCCTCAGAGTCCCAGTACTGTGCTTTCTGCACTAAATTCTAATAGTTATATAACAAATTTGTGATGGTTAAAAATTAGCTATTAAAACTCATTATTGTGGATAAACAGTAGTATGTTTAGAGTTTATCTTTTTTTTATAGTATCTTGCATCAATTTAAAATATGCACTATTCATTAATACAGGCCAATTACAAATGCTGATAATACTGTCTCATTTTCTTTCTTTTTAGGTCTTTTTTGATTTGATGAGAGAAATTAGATCCAAGAAAATGTCAGACAATAAAGACAAGAATGGCAAAAAAAGCAGCAAGAATAAGAAGAGTTTTAAAGAACGATGTTGCTTATTGTGATCTTTAAGAGCTATACATATAGGTGACAGTACTAACAAGACGTTTTACTACTAACGATAGAGGACTGAATTAATAAGAAGAAATCTGAAATCAATACATTTTTCAACTCACATTGGTATAAGAATTGAAGTCCAACAGATCCATGTATACCAAGAGGGATGGTTCTTGAAAGCAGCTGTCACTGGTAAACATTAATGCAAACATTTTTTCCTTTTGTCATAAGCAATTTACCTGTTAGTCACATGGTGCACTCTGAATTTACCTCCAGATCCTGTTTCCAAGGGCACTCTTCAACAACTCTTCACCATCCTTTTTTTGTTTAAACGGCAAGTTTTCACTGAAGTTCCACCAAAGTTACCTGTCTTTTCTTTGTGACTTCAGTTTGTGTGCTCTTAAAGGTTTAGGCCTTCAGTGATTCTTTAAAAACCACAAGTTGAAAAAATTGAGCTATTTCTGCCCTTTGAAATTTACAGTGCTGCTTAAAATAAGTTACGGTGGTGTCAGTTTTGCTGTTTTGCCAACATATTAGATGGACGATATAAGGCTTAAAAAAACTGAGCAGTGAGTTAGTATTTCTATAATGATTATAGTAATTTTCAGCCTATAATTTCAGAACATTAGTAGTTATATTCTGACAAGTTACAGTTTCTTAGATTGGGAGTAAATTAACCAGGCATCTTGATGTAGAGGAATTTCTAGGCTTAACCCAACTTTTCAATACATTTGAAGGGCAGAACTCCCATCCTTTTAGTCCAGCATAGTCAGTAGCCACAATTGTTGAGGATGATGGTATTTGCAATCCAAGACATATGAATGGCATCAAGTTAGGGATTGTTGGTTTATTCCATTGAGTAATTCTACCCTTCATCCCAAAGCTTGAACATTTCTATTCGTGATGTTGCAGTGGTTTGTGGTCATGTATTGAAGCCATAGTGGTTGCTACATTTTTGCTCTTAAACAGGAGAAGGGTCTGTTTTTTTAAAAAAATGTGAGTTCACATTCTGTAATCTCATGAATTGGATACAGTCTGTGTCTTAAAAGTAGATGGTAAAAGAATCCACCAGTACTTATCCTGCAGTTACTCCATTGGAACTGTTAAAAAAAAAAAAGAAGCTTGTGCAGAAAATGCTTCTAGTGGATTGTTCGATGCAGAGAAACCTAGTGATGCATTACAATGGGCTTTACTTTCTTTCTCCCATAAGAGTTGTTGATATCTGCCTAGGTGACATCAAGACATGGAATTCCACTCCTGAGCACTCACTATTGTTTTCCTGGACATTGCGGAGCAGTGGTGGGTAAATTAAAAAGAGGGATATGGACAATCTTTTCACATGTACTTAAAAAAAAAAAAAAGATAACCAAATTAATGTTCAGTTGCCAAAAAGTCTGACCCTTGCTCTTGTTGTACAGACTTAATTAATTCTTCTGCTGAAGAACTTTTATAGTTATTCAATGGATAATGGGGAAAAATTGTAAGGAAGTCTAAATTTATTCACTTAACAAATGTTTTTTTTTCTTGTTTTGTCACTATTTGCATCATTAATGGGGTAAATAAAAATGACACGTAGAAGTATATACTTACACTTTTAAAAATAGCCTCAGCCAATACAGTAAACCATCGTTCTCAATTTGGTGCTCTTTGGATATGTTAAACTGTATTTTTTTTTTTCATTTCCAAACAGGATGTGAGAAGAACTGGTCTAACCCCTCAAAAAGCACCATGTTGGGGAAAGCTCTATTGGGCCAATACATTTTATAGAAGTGCTCTCCCCTGGTCATAAAAATACTTTTTCAGATTGTAGAATAAATTCAAAATTCAAAGAATAAGCATGTATGAGAATGCTCTGGAAGGTTCAGAATATCTAAAATAGAGCTGGGTATTCTAAGAGAGAGCTTTAAGAAGTGAGGTTATGATACAAAGCCAAGTCACATAAATCAACAAGCCAGGATTCTGTCCCAACCCCTCAGTTTTAATTTTTTTAAAAAACCATTATGTCTATATTGGAGAATACACTGTTTTCATTTAGTATGTGGCACAAAACTGCTCTGATCATTTTCAGCAAGGGGCTCTGGAAGGCTGCAGAAAAGAGGCTTGTGCAATTCATATGGTCCTGTACCAATGACTTGGAAAAGTGAATAAAACAGCATCTTCTGAGATCTGCAACTATAAAGTTGGGAAAATGGGGAAAGAGACAGGCAGCAGTACGAGGAAGAAAAAAAATACAACCATGTCTGAATATATAAGAAGTCGGTGATTCTCTCTGAATGTGAAGATTAAAATGTGAAGATTAGATTTATCAAATAAGATTATTTGAAGAAATCTGCCTGATAGTGCTAAAATGAGAATACTGTCAAGAGGTTTTATTAGCTTTACATTGGCATATTAATAAAACAGTACTAAAATGATACATGAATATATAGGCTGTAGCAGGTATCCAGTTAACATATTGTTACTATGTGCTGGAGAAGAAAGGATGTTTCTAAATGTGTACATGGGACCTGACAAGGCTAAAAAAGGCAGACTGGTCTTCTAACAAAGGATGAATGAGGTTCAATGTCATCTATCCGAAATGCAGATATAGATGTCATAATTTTCAGATATGGAGCTTTCACTAAAGTATTGTTTGGGGATATATATTTTTGACAGGTGTATCTGGGTACTGATTTTCTGGAATCTGGTACCTATGGATTTCATCTTGAACAGGGAGGGGCAATATGTGACCTTCCAGATGCTGCTGAACTTCAGCCTCCAGTAATCATAGACATAGGCTAACAGGAACGGACACAGTTGTTGCAGAACCACATCTGGAGGACCAGAAGTTGCTCAACCCAATATAGAAGTTTTTCAGTGATGATACTGTACATAGAACATTTCAACAATCATGAAGGAAGATAGAGCTTCCTAGCAATCTCTGAAATAGGTAAACATAGTGAGAAACTTCAGCAAAAAGAAGATTGGTTATTTTTTTTTTAAAGAAGCTAGGGGATTTATGCAATAAGACAAGCAAAAAGACATAATTCATATGTCTCTCCAGTCTCTATATGTAAGACATAATTTAATGCTGAATGCCCTTTAGTGTGCAGGAACCACAGAAATTTATTGGGGAAAATAACTTGCATATTTCAGGCATATACTTTAGCATTTTGTTTTTAATCTTTGTAAGCCACACAATCACTTGTGTGAGATGGGCGGCCATATAAATTAATTTTGTGTGTGTGTGTGTGTGTGTATATATATATATATATATATATA